GGGAGCAGAATGGGTAGATCCACTGAAATACACTGCTGAGGGAAGCATGCCTTGCTTTGTGGGTCAGTTCCCTGCAGGGGATTGAATTTGTACTACAGTGGCTGCGGATGGCTTCATAGTGCTGCGCTTTAACCCGTTGTGCCACCAGGGAGGGCCCTAAATAAATAAATCTTTTTAAAAAATCAAAGTGTACAGCACTACCCCCTCCAAAAGCAACTTGTCTATCTCTATTCCCAAGAAGGAGAAAAAAGTTTCCTGTGGCCAGACAACCTTTAGGCAAAGCTCCAGAATCTCAAATTCTAGTACAGGTAGTAATTACTATTATCAATAATAATTATTATTAGAGTTAACATTCAACAAGGCTTACTATGTGCCAATCCCAGTGCTAAATGCTTCATAGTTATTATCTCATTTAATCTTCGCAGCTCTGGGACATAGAAACAATTATGGTCTCTATTTTATGGACAAGGAAACAGCCTCAGAGAGGCAAAGTCATCCAGGATTGCCTGGCTTCCAAGTCTTCTGTGACAATTAAGGTCAGTTGACATCTCACTCAGCACACAGACACTTGGATTGGCTCTCTTCCAAATGCTTCTGCTGGATCTCAGGCTTCAGGCTCACCTCCCTCCATGCTGTGAGGATCAAAAGCTGCTTATCAAGTGCCTTTGTGTGCTGGAGTGCTATATACACATTTCCATATTGAGTCCTGCCCACCACCTAAAAATCTGTCATTATTCCCATTTCTCAGAAAGTAGAGCTGAGGCATGGACGGGTGTGACTGCTCTGGATCACACTGTGTGAAGTAAGACGGCAGAACCAAGATTCGAACCCAGGTAGGTTGGCCTTAAAGACTCATTCCTTCAGGGAATGAGTCTATCAGAAAAGTACAGAGACCTGTGAAGAACAGCCCCACTTTCAAATCAAGCTTCTCAGGCCCTGTGCCTCCAGTGTCATCCCTCCTCATTGTCACTATCCCCATTGGCCTGGATGCTTCCTCACCTTTCTCTTGACCTGTGATACTTCTGTAATCATCCTGTTGACCAGCTTTCTGAGACACGATCACCTCTTCAGGAAGCCTCCTCTGATTCAACTCCCTCCCTAACATTCACTCTCATAAACACAGTGGACTTTGCTTTCTTGTTCCTTATCACCATTTCTAACTGTATTCTGATTTGTCTGACCTTTGTTTAACTACTTTCTTCCTCACAAACCTAAGCCCCATGAGGGTCTTTTTGAGTCTGTTTTGCTCACCACTACGGCTACACCACCACAGGCCTCTACATGGGTAACACTTAACTTTTTATTGAATGGATGATTCCATGATGAATTAATAGCTAGTAGATACTTTATATACGTGACTCATTAATTCCACAATTAACTAGCTTACCGAATCCTCACAAATGCCCTGTTGTTCCCATTTTAGAGAAGGTGACACTCAAAGAGCTAGAAAGTGGTGGAGCTAGGTTAATCGCAGATTAATCTGATCCCAAAACCGTGCTTCTGTGCAACACCTGTTGCCTCTCAGGTCCTGGTGATCACAGTCAGGGTTTAAATAGTCTTTGGTAGTCAGACTGCTTGTCCAAATTTGAGCCTGGAGGTCACAAACTCTCTGTTCTTACATTGTTGGCTGTTTTTCCTTCCACTGCCTTCTTGGGAGCTTCGTTTCTAAAGATGGAAAAGAACTAGGGATTACAGGCAAGGCAGTGCTTCTGGGGAAAACAATCCTGCAGTGAAAAGTCCCCTGTTCTGAGAGTAAAGACACCCAGATTTAAGTCCTGACCTGGAGACTTCCTGGCAGAAGACCCAATATGGACTCACCGCAGTCCACGTTGGAGAAAATAGCTGAGGCTCACCCCTAAGATGAATTCCGCCCCCCTCCAACCTTGGTGATTAACATTAGTTGTGTGTCTCCTGTTCTTAAGAGTAACCTGGAGTGGCCAGAGAAATGGGGTACTGACCTGGCATCCACAATTCTACCTGGGAAGCTAAGGGCGTGAGGGATAGAAATACTGGGAGGGAGAAGTACAGGAATGTTAACAAGATATGTATGTGAGTCCCAGGATTTTTCAAATTCCCAGGATAAGTATGGAGGCTCAGTCGTCTTTTCTCCAATGTGGACAGTCTCTGACTTAAGGGAGTTGCTCTACAGAATTAAGTGCGGTATTATTATTGTGACTGTCAAATTGATAAACAACTGCAGCCCTTATCACCTGGAGCACTAAGACTAACTTATGTATGAACCTTCAACAAACATTTCAGGGTCTGATGCAGACACCATCATTCCTATTTTGCAGAAGGATAAATTGAGGCAAAGGTCTGGTAAATTCAGGTACATGTCTGAAGTTCCTGAGTCAGGTGGGGATTGAACCAGGACCCAGTCACCCCACCCAGTCCTAGGGAGCCTGGCCTCGCCCCGGAAGGATCCCTTAGCAGCAGGGCAGGAGCCCGTGACTCACTCGCCCCACCCTACTTTCGGCTTGGCCAGAGACCTGGAGGGAAGGAACAAAAGTATCTTGCAGTTTGAGGGGTGTCTGCAGAAAGTTCATGGGCTTGGCCCTTTTCTCTCATCAAAAATACTGACTCTTCCAGCTCTAAAACAAGAATTCGCCCTTTAATAAACTTTGTACGTGTTTTCACACTTTCTTAGGTGGGCTTTTCCTATCATGAATGTAGGAGTTGATTTAGTTTAATCTCCACCCCCATTTCACTTGGTTTGTCCCCCGCTGTTTACTCCGATTGCGGAAGTAGCTCGGGTGGAGCTCTCCGGACGGGACCTTTCAGTACGTCTTTTGCGTAGTTATTTAACTGGCATTTCACTTAGGCCAATCGGATGCTCGGGAGCCGCAGGAGGGTGGGGCAGAAAACCAATCAGCGCCTTTGGCGGGGTGTGGCTGCGTCCCGGGGCGGGGAATCGCGTAATGGCGGACGCGGGCCGGGCGAGCTCGGCTGGGGGCGTAGCGCGCTGAGGGGGGTCAGGTTGTGTGGCAGCGCGCGACGCGGCCCGCGGGAACAGACCCCGTGTGGAGACGGGCGTCCGGCCGGCCCCTCTACCTCCGAGGGTGACCGCGCGAGACCAGGTGAGCAACAAGTCCTCGCGGGCGGGCCCCGCCGTGAGGCGCGGGGCCGGGCCGGGCCGGGCTGCCCTCCCGGGCCGCACTGGGTCCAGGGGAGAGGGTACCTGCCTCCCGCCTTGGATGTGCAGAGTGGTCCTTGCAGGGTGGCGACTTACTCCACACTCTCCTCCGCAGGCTTGGGGGTGGGGGGCGGCGGGAGTGTACTGGAGATCCCCCCCCATACTTGAGGGGCCTCGAGTTTGTGGGGCTGCAAAAGTGCCCCAACCTGATCAGACTCTGTCACCAACTTGCTGTGTGACCTTGGGCAAGTCACTTCGTCCTCAGGGCCTCAGTTTCCCCATTTGTAAAACGAAGGCTTTGCAGGCAGGTGGTATGAGTTGGAGCCCAGATGCTATCTGAGCACTTCAGCAAGTTCTTCCAGGGGTGGAGCCTCAGTTTCCATCTCTGGGCCATGAGGGTTTGAGATGCTCTTCGAGCCACCCAGCCTGCCAGGTTGCTGAGCCTGGAAGAGAGGAAAGTGCGAGAGGGAACAATCACACGTGTGTGTGTGTGTGTGTGTGTGTGTATAGAGTGTGTGTAAGAGTGTGTGTAGAGGGTGGTCTGTTGAGTAAGGAGAGTTGGCCATAGGGGGTCTTTCAGGATTCTGGATGGACACCTCACCACTACCACCGCTATGGGGTGGAGTCGAATTGTCTTGGTCCTCCAGGACTCCTAGAGCTTCTGAGACGGGGATATTTTATACAGTTCTCTCTAGAATCAGAGAAAAGGCAGTAATCCTTGGGTGTTGTGATTGAAATTTAGGGTCAAAAGAATTCATGAGGAGGGAAGACATTTATTATGACCCTACTGTGTGCCAGACTTTGGTTAAGTTTAAGTTTATAGTCTTACTTAATTTTTGCAGCCATTTTGGGAATTTACAAATAAGAAAACTGAGTTTCAGAAGAATTAAGTAATTAGTCCAGGGTTACACAGCGAGGTGCTTTGCTTACCAAAATTCAGGTGTACCTTTTATATAGTACTGCTTATCTCAGGTCACCATGCTTCATTCCCTCTGAGAATCAAGAGGCAAGGGGAAGTCACTGTCCACTGAAAAAAAAGTTTACTTGGCCACAAAGGAGGAAGAGGTCTGGTCCTAGACACTTGATTTGACCTCTGGCTTGAGGACAGGTTTGATCTCCTATGGTTAATAAGTTCACCCTCTTTGTTAATCTGCGAGCTGAAAAGGACCATCTCTAAATTGTAAAAAGTCATTTTTAATGTGTCAGAAAACTCAGTTGGGGTCCTGGTGGAGGAGCCTGTAGAAAGTTCACCAGCTATTTTATTGGTGCCAACCCAGTAACTTTTACTCCTTCCTAAGAAAGCCCCATTTTCTTGGGATGGGAGACAGTTCCCATTTGTTAGTTTAGATTTCTTTGAATTTCAGGGGTGAATGGTTCAATAGCCTGCCTCTGATTAAGTATAATGTTTCTTTGTGCTCCCTGTTATCTGACTTCTCTGATGAGTGAAGATTGTGGACCTAAGTGGGAGGTAGTTAGGTACTATCAGTTGAAGCCCTTAATTTTCCCAAAACCTTAGAGCTTTTGGTTAATCAAAATGGTAGGACCCAGAGTGGGTATTGTTCTCATATGTCAATGGAAGGGAAGAAAATTGGAAGAGGAAGTTGCTGAGAAAGAGGGCGTTTCATAGCAGTGGAGCCAATATGTATTTCTTTGTTTGAAATTCTAAAACCAGAAGAGCAGCAACCTAAGAAGGAAGGAAAGAACTATGAAACTCTTCTTCCCGTTCAGATACCTAAGATTATCTCTGTCTGACGCTCTGCCTTCACAGAAAAAGCCAGTTGTAATTTGTTAAACGATCACAAAGTGTATTCTAAAATTTTAAATCTCAAATCCTCTGAGGTCAATTCTTTAAAAGAATATTTGATTGAGAACATTATCAGTAAATGATCCTTTTTCCCAGCCTAATTATCAATGATAGTCTTTGGGCCTATCCTAAATGTTACTTAAATTAGTGGATTTCAACTAAAGAGATTTAGATACTGGATGGTGTGAATGACACCATCACTTGAAAAATCTTCAGTGGTGTTTTTGGGTTTGACATTTGTTAAAGTTTTTTAATGCTTTATTTTCCAGGATTGTATATATGTGAGTAGTTGTTAAGACACAGAATTTATTGCATGTGAGATATAGCTTTATTCTCAGTATTAGTTTTATTTTCTGTATAAGATTTAGCCTTAATTAGTATACCAGTCAGTAGTACCTTGGGACCAAGAAAAAAGTTCTTGGGGCCAGATGTGTTTTGAATTTAGGAGTTTTTGGATTTCAGAAAAGGAATATGGTACATGCACCGGGTGTTATGTAACATTCCAGGGAGGGGTATGCCCCTCTCTGGGGAATGTCTTGTAATCAGACACATTATTTCTGTAGGAAAATGTCAGAATATTCACACCAACTGGGATAAATAAATACTACAAATAACCTTATGTCATCTCATGTCAGACTTTGCTTCCAAGTAAATAATGAAAAACTTACTTTTCACATTCTTTTGAATTTTGGAGTTGAAGTTATGGGGTTGTGGATCTCTGTGGGAAAAAAACTTATATGATGACAAGAACAATTACAAGGAAAAATACTGTGAACCAAGCTAATTTTAAGCCTGAGTCCCCAAAAACATAGAAGACATCTTTTGGGGGGTTTCTTTCATCTAATAATCTTGTTCTAATTAAGCTATACCTAAACTGCATTGCTTCTTAAGTACTGAGTTTTAAAATAACATCACTGATCTTTGTTTTAGGTGCTAGAATGACACACTACCCCTCCATACCTCTTATGTTTTTTTTTTTAACCATAAAAATAATTTTAAGGTCTTGTGCTCATCTGTTTTTACTTAGCAATTCAGAGAATTGTTTCTGTTTCCCCCCATGTAATTAAGAATAAGAGTAATTAGGTGAGGATCTACAGATTCAAAGTTAGAGAATTTAAAGCTGATATTCCCTTCATGTTCGTCTTTAGTATGAGATTATTACTGCTGGATAGGACTTGGGTAAAACATTTTTTATTTTTAATTTACAAAGCCTCCACAATTTGCACATTTTGGTGAGGAGTTTGCTATTATTTCTCTAGAGTATTTTTACTTTTAAGTATATGCTACATAAGAAACTTGAGTTTACCAGGCTTATATGAATATGTATGATTTAAGGCACCAAGTATCTTCAGGTGCAAATTTTAAAAACTTAGTCTACTCTTTTCTCAGATATTTCAACTATAGAGTGAAATGGACTGTTATTGTTGGAGGATAAAGAATTATTTCTTCTCTTTATAAGAATCCCTGTAACAGCATTCATTTGAAAGGTGGTGGCCTTCAAGATAGCATATAACCTGATCTGTGGCCTTCAATTCCTCCTCCTACATGGGGTGTTTTCATAGTTCTTGAGATGGTACTTTCTTCGTCTGATAAAAGGGATATCAGGAGCTACGGGTGGAGCCTGTATAAACTTCAACTTGGGAATTTAGACTACCTGTTTCTATTATTAGTAGTGATAATTTTGCAAAAGGATTATAAATTAGTGGACTGACAGCCTTTTCCAACTCACTCTGTTGTTACTATGGATTTGTTCTGCAAGACAGAAACTGTATCTTACACTTGTTTTGTATTCATTAATGCCTAAAGACCAGGACATCAAACTTTGTCTTGCACCAGAACTTACCATTAAAAAAATATTCACATCTGGTCTGAGAGTTCTAATGTCAATATGTAGCCAGGGTTAAGAATCACTGACATAAGGACTTGTAGGTATTTAATAAATACACGTTGACTGATTTGGTATTGGTTCTCACATGAGTTGGGTATAAGGGAAGCCAGATTTTTTCATAAAGTAGAATGAATAGCTTTCTACAATACCCACACACATCTGACTATTGGCTTATTTGGATCATAGTTCACTAGCGACTCTGCCAGCATCTCCACTCTTATTTTTGTGGCCGAGGCAGGATTAGATACAGTCTATGTTAGCAAGTGACTGAAAATTTGTATAGTCCTTAGTTAATGTCTATAGACTAAGATTGATTAGGGTGACATGTTAAACTGGGAATAAGTAGAATTGCAAGAATTCTTGAGGAATTGACTGAGGGAGGTGGGCTGCTGGCATGGGAAGAAATGGAAAATTGTGATTACACTGGGTCTCCAATGCATGGCACAATATATGGAGCATAATAGCTATTCCATTGCTTGAAGAGTTATTTATTTATGCATAGAAAATCTGGGGTAGGGCCCTCCCTGGTGGTGCAGTGGGTTAAAGTACAGCACACGAAGCTGTCCACAGCCGCTGCAGGATGAGTTCAATCTCAGGCCAGGGAGGTGACCCACATGGGGCAGCAGACTTCTGTCTCACCTGCTGCTCCCCTTAGCAGTGTACTTCATCATTCTGCCTATTTTGCTCCCCACTCTGACAGTGAGGGGCAGGCAGGTCTACTGCTAAGAGGGGAACAGCGGGCAAGACAGGAGAGGTCTGCTGTGCCATGTGGGTCAGTACCCTTGCCAGTTATCGAACTCAGGCTGCAGTAGTCATAAGCATGGTAGCAGCGAGACTTAACCCCTAGCCACAACGGAGGCCAAGGTATTTTGTATCTTTTTGTTGATTGAAGAAATGAATGACATAAGGTGTTTCCTGTTCATCCATTAGCAGTGAGTTAAGATGTCATCTATTTTGTGAAGCCTCCTTGGGAAAAGTTGAGTGACTTTCTTGTGTGTTTTGTCTTTTGTTAAAGTACTTACCAGACTGTCAAATATAATATCAGACAGATTACAAATACATTTTCCCCTACCTGACAGTGAGCTCCTTAAGGTCAGGAGTATATTCATTTTTGTGAGACTAGCAATCACTACACAAAAAGGCCTACTAGATGCTAATATTGCTTAAAATATGGCCTCTTTCTTCTGGCTCTTTTTTTGAGGTTTCATTTTCGTCTATTTTATGGTCTTCCTTTTCAGCTCAGACCAGCAAA